AGTTGAAGGAGTTTGTTATGGAATTAGGCCGAAGTGTGAAGCAGATAAATTCCAGAGTTAATAGGATTTGTTCTTCAGGAAGTTCTTGGTCATCTGAAGAAGGTAGCCAAAATTGATCTGCACTGCCCTCACCTGATAAGGAGTCTTTCATACCTTCTATGGGGATTGCTTCAGCTGCAGCATTAGCTCAAGAGCTCCGAGTTCATCTACAGGAACAACATCATGTGAAAGCTAGTCCCGAGTTGAAGTTACCGCCATGTGTGAGTAGAGCGTCCTCTCTGCCTCCACCTCCTTCTTCTATGGTACTGGCATTGGTGAAATAAAACTTGTAAATGGATATTGCCTCAAGGTGTTTTAACTGACATCCCATTGTGATGCTCCCCCTACGAATAAGCAGTAACCAAAGAGTCTCTTACACTAGTAATTAATATGAATACATATTAAATCACAATCCCCACTGACAGCTTTTGCACCAGAGCAATTGCAAATCATTCGAATCTGCATAATAGTCAGAAAAGTCGGAAATATATCCAGAATGTTTAAAAATATTTTCAAATGGTTATAATGTTAAATTCAAAAGCTGTAATTGTGAGAAAATAGCCACGCTACATTTCACAAAATCAGAAGACTTCTTCACTGAGATTTATATTCGTGTATAGTACAGTATGTGCTTTGATGATGCATGATACAAGCAACTAACCAACCAAACCCTAACCATAGAGTAAGTACTCGTTAATTAATATTACTGTGTTTGCATATTTTTGTAATTACACTGTGACAAGAACATCTTAAAATGTAACCATATACACACTATATTCCTACATTCACAAGATAGACGGAAGACAGATCGATAGATACTAAATCAACATATTATAATTATACTATATAACTATCCCAACTTTATTATTTATTTATTTATTTTTGCTTGCTGTTTTATAGCTACCTTATTTAAAATCTGAGATCTGATTCGTAAATGATTCTTATTAATTCCAGACTAGTTGCATAATTCAATAAACATCCTGCAAACGTTTCTTTTGGAATTTTGATTAGGGATTAAATAGAATTAGAAGGACAGTTAATATTCTCTCGTGGTCGTGTTTAGTCGCAAAAACATCAAAAAGTCATTCAAGGAGCGTGAGTGAATGACTAATGTGATACTCAACAAGAGGAGCTTTACGCCATCCGGTCCACTGCATCCTTTGACTGGAAGACACAGAACTCGAAGACGGTCATTACCGACGGATGCTGGTCAAGAGCGGTTGAATTCTGCAGTTTTCCGCCTGAATAACGAAGTGGAATGAAACAGGAGCCCACTGCAGAGACAACGACAAACTGCTAACACTGAGCAAACTGATCCACTGACCAACATACACACTGAAAATAACTGTTATATCCTCGCTACGTCCGTTTCGTCGTCCGCTACACTTCTGGATGCTGTACTGCTGCGGTGGAAGAGAGAAGAGGGAGAAGGGGGAGCAGGAGCACACGGGCGCGGAAGAGGCGTTGATGAACTGCGGGGAAGCGGACACCGTCACCGCTGGAAACCGGGATGAAACTCCAGCTGCAGGGATGTTTGACACAACGGATATGCCCGAGCTCCTGCCGCCCTCGGGGCAACTTCAACCGAGTCCTCGTGACTCGGTGTGTCAGATGCAGCATTTGATGGTTGAGAGAGATTGCTTGAGCCCTGAATCCCCTCAACGGAGGTTAGGCCAGAGGGCCCCCAAACTCGGACAAATTGGACGGTCAAAGAGAGGTAAGTAATATTTTTCTAATTTTGTATGGTAAATAGGCTAACTGATTTAAAACCTGCATGCTTGTAGAAATATCAGCCGTTTTTAACTGTTTTAACTGTGGACATAACATGGACAAAACATACTCAGTAATGTTTTTCCGTTTCATTTATTTGGATAATTTGTGATTTTTCATCCCATTTTGCTTTTTTTTTGTTAAGTACATTATAGTACATTATATATATTTTTATCAGGCTCCTATGTTTAGGTTCAGTAATTTTACTTTAATGGCAATGTATAGGTTCTTTTCTATGCTATTAAAGTGAAAGAACTGAACATAAATATATGAGCCTGATAAAAATGATAATTTTAGAAGAAAATTTCAGACAGCACTTAGAGGCTTTTACATCTGAACTCTTCATATATATATATATATATATATATATATATATATAACTTTCAACTTTGTATAAGTTAAATAAGTTCATACTGGGATATGGAATAGGGCATTTAAAAGGTAACTGGGTTTATAACAGGGTTGACGGTTTTATTGCTAATTTAACTAGCCTTGTGCTCAAGGTTATAATATTACAAGGTGATTATTGGAAAGACAATTTAATGCTGATATTTCTACAAACATATAGATTTAATAATCGGCTCATACACAATTATACTGGTTTGACAGTTTCATATTTCACTTGTGCTATAAAGGCCATGTAACCAAGATGTTTATTAAGCAGATAATTCTTGATATTTCTACAAATACCCAGTTTTCAAAAATAATTTGTACAAATTCATAGACGAAGATTCAAGAATATCCCCTTAAAGTTGAAAATGTAAGATTAAAAGGAGACACTTAGTTTGTAACATTTTATAAGATACTGAAGTTTTTGATGGTTAAGAAAAGTGCCTGTAATAACTTACGGAATTTTAATAATTTATGGAATTATGGATTTAATAGAATATTTACATATTAAGTAAGGTTACACCTTGTTCATTAATGTATAACTAAACTGTGCACAGTGTAACTGAAAACCAAAGCATGGCCCAAATTTGCATATCTGTTAAAGTAAGATATGTGAACATTATTTTATAGTGGTCATAGAGGATGAAGATCTGGATGACGTCATGAACAACAACAATGGACCTGTCCCTCTCAGCAATGAGCCATCCTGAGCCTCTCTAGATTCTTAATATTCTGGACCAGCTATTCGTGAAATGCGCCTTTCTGCCACGGGACAGTCGGGACACTTTCAGCAGGAGAAAAGTCAGACACCTCTCCCAGTATCAGATTCACACGAGATCCGCATGCGTTTCAGCTGTAGTTTACTAGTCGCATGGCAGCAGCTGTCAACCTACAACAGGCCACACAGGTGATTTGTTGTATAGTAGCTTCTTAGACCAGAGCTCTGTGTGTGACACTCGTGCCTCCCAGAGGGAGAAATGTGCATATGTAGGCTGATTAACATATTTCTGACCAAAGGCAAAGACCAGCCACTGTAGATCACTCTGTCCAGGCTTGTGCTGTTATAAAGATGTCTTTCAATTTATCTGTTGAAACATTTGGCAAGAAGAATAGCACAATGTTCTTGTGTTTTACTTTGTCTCTCAAAACTCTGGAAATGTATGCTGCTTCCTAGAGCCATGGTTGTTACCTGTTGTCCACGACAATATAGTCAATATTCAAATGTCAACCAAAAATATATTTCCTCTGGTATTTCTCACTTTTTATTATTAACAGAAACAAGTAGTATCTCTAGGTTAAAAAAAGAGATTCATTTCATAATTGCAGTGGTTTCAGAACGAAACTTCTTTGATCACTTTTATTTAGTAATTTAATTACTTTTTTGTTTTATTTTGTATCTTAAGGCATATTGTGCTCTGAAGCTGAGTATTACTTTTCTAAAGGCTTAAATGTTTTTATGCCGTATGAAACATTGCACGTTGCATTAGTTATCACTGTGAAAAGCTATGCACTTGCTTGAGCACTGCTATGATACATTACTTTTGTTAAAATATGTAACAAGTTTATATTTAGTTGGCAGAATGATTCTGTGGCACGTATGAAGAATATATATTGTTTTATGTGTTGCTTGCATTTTGTAGTTAAGCACTGGAAAAAAGGGCCATGCAAAAAAGAATAAATGTGTAAATAACTGACATAATAAATGTCAAATGTAAAGCTGAGCATGCAAACTGTTCCATATTTGTCCACTAGATGGCTACAAAACCTAAGAAATTAATAGTTCTCCTTTAAGGCTCTAGCAATTGTTATAAATGTATTGCATTTGTAACCATTTATTGGCAGTAGTCTACTTGCAAACAGCCTCAAAATCTACAAGTTTAATGTCTGGAAAAAAACCTGGATTAGAAGGTGGGTAGTTTAAGGAATTTCCATTAAACATGTTCTAGCTAGGTTCACCTCGCCCAATCCAAATTGTTCTTGGCGCCACAATTATCAAAACATCTGCTATCTAACAGACTTTTTGATATTTTTTGACATATAGATCTCGACAGCGTTTATGTTCTGTGAATGTTTCATTCGCTAATGATTCTAATCAAATGCTCAAGCAGTAGGCTACTTTGCTGCTATGGTAATTTCCTCAAGTGAACGCGATTTGTGTTGGCAAGTGTTTACCAGGTGTCTCTATAATTAGTATTCTATAACATTTGTAGTTACTAAATCCATTTTGGGACGTATATACGGTATATGCCTATTTACATGTATAAAGAATAAAACTACCAGCCTTTTATTTCGACTTTCTTTAGGCGGGCTTAGTCTGAATCAGCAGCACCCACCCACTACGTTTCACCGACGATACGCGGTTAGCAGGAAATGATCTCCGAGTGGCAGTAAAGGGCAACAACTACCACAGGTTGAACATTGTGGAAAAGTACCTTACGTTTTGTCTCAAATATTTAGGTGAAACGTAAATCCCCTTTGTAAACAAATGTTTTATGTTATTTATTATAACCAATGATAGCATATTTGTGAAATACAAATGGCTGTAATTGTTAACCATGCATATGCTACTGCTCTAGTTCACCAATTGTACTTGGTGACCTATTTTCCTTTCACTCATATTCTCCCATTACAGAATTATTTACATTAAGACACGTTTGCAGTGTTAGCCAGAATACGCAAATTATGCTGAAGCAGGAGTCAGAGGACCATGTGTGACTCACAAGGCCAAGGTATTTGCAAATCACTAATATGGGTAATCTGCCCCAGATTAGGCACATATAAAGAATGTGACAATGGCCATGTCTTGTTTTAAAAAATTTATTTACATAAAATTGCAAACTGAACAGTCAAAAACGTTTCAAAAAGTTAAATATTTGCATAAACTGGTTACAAATATAATATGACTATCCTAAATAGACTTGAGGGCGACCCACCTCAAGTGGTCCAAGCACAAAGACCAAAGAACGAGAGAGAAAAAACCCCATAGAGGACCAGTTTTTGCATGTCACATGCTCATGTTGTTGTGGATATAAAGAGACACATGATTCATGCGAGTCTTGGATTGTAACCAGCTGTGATAAAACCCAAGCAAATATCTACAGCCTTTTCTACTGACCAATAAATTGTGTATAAAACATGAAAGGAGTGTCAAAAGCATTAGCTGAATAACAGGAAGGACACCGAGGAGCTGGAGCACAAAAGCAACTGAAAAGTTTCACTTTGCATAAATAAGAGCCATTTCTTTGATTTACCCCCCCCCCCAAAAAAAACTGACTTAACTGAGAAGTTTAGTGCTTTAGTTTCTTTATCTTTAGCCTCACCCAAAAAAGTCAAGCTTTTGTTTATCCACCTAGTTTCAGTCTAGCTCTATATGCATGCCAGCAATTTCAATCTAATTCCATCAACATACCACTCGATTCCATTATAGTTCTCTTTGAGTAGTTCAGTATTTTACTACTTCCTTTCAAAAACTGTCTTTCAATAGCAATGAGCGAAACTTCCCTCAGATGATTTGTATAAAGTGAAGTATTGTTTGGAAAGAGAAGGTCTGGTATGTCACAGTCACCGGCCTGAAATTATGCAGCAAATTGAACCAGAAATTTACATGTTGGCCTTGGCTCTTAAAAAAAATACAAATAAAAAAGTTATTTTCTTTTTAAGTTGTTCTTTTCATGCACCTCAGTGTCTGGCACAATTTATAAAGTGATGCACAAAGCAAGCAAGGCAGATGAGGTCAGGACATGGCTTTACAATAGAGATGATGTGCTAATGAGCGGTATGAGTGACGATTTTTCCCTGAGTATGCCCCTCTCTTTAATGTTCACTAAGGACATACTGGGGAAGAACCCTCTCTTTCCAAACTCACTTCAGTAACAGGATTTATAATAGGAAAAAACAGACTTGGTGCTTATCAAAAGAAAGAAAACAGAAGTGACCTTTTTCTGAGGTGGGCTGCTGCATCTGAGCATGAGTAAAATTTTCCCAAGGACACTGATCTTAGCTGTTTGTTCTATTCCAAGTCAAACACAATACACAATTAAAATCTAAACAGATCTGAGATCAGCTGACTAGGGAAACTTCTACAGATGCTCTAGGATTCATTATGATCTTCTCCAGCTTGTGAACTGCCGCCATGGCTCAAACGTACTCCTTGCTGCTGCTGGGGGGTCTGGAGGACTTGGGGTACTTGGGAGATGATTTACCCTTTGGGCAGGAGGCAGCCAACATGCCTCCACCCATTATGTCCAGGAACGCACCTGCCCAGGCGATGAAAATGGCCGCACCGAACTCATACCTATAGAAATAGAATATCATAATATGAGCTTTGCCTTTCCTTTCTTGGTAACAAGAGGATGAGAAACTATAAAATGAGGTAAAGCACATGGATAAATGCCTAAACATAATTTGCTTGTGGTATGAAACTACATTTGAACTTACTTCGTGTTGACTGGTGTGAAGGGGTTATAGAAGTCCTGGACGATTCGATTTGTAAACCAGGCACAGGCAACAATGCTACAGAGGGCTGAGGAATGGAAGAGAAGAGAAAAATTAGTTACTTATGAAAACATTTCCAAACATGTTTTTGACTATTTTTGTCCACAAAGAGGGAGTGAACATTTTAGTTAACTGACAGATTCTGGAGCAATAAAGCACTGATTCCGAACCTGGCAAGAATTCCTTTAACCTTGGCATTTAAAACCTTATCTAGATTTTTGGTGTGCTGATGAAAAAGTACTGCTTTAGAAAACTAGCATTAATATAATGCTATTAAAGTGAACGCACCTCCAACAAGGAGGACTATACCGCCGGTCATGGCAATGCGGGACTTTTTGACCTTGTCATCTCCACCACAGTTAGTGCACTTCATGCCCATGCTGGCCACACCCAGTCCTGCTACTGTGAGAAGGATCGCGACAATCATCAGGGCACGAGTTGCCTGGAGAGAACCTGAAAGAGGGGGAGGGTAGAGAATGAGTGAGATACAAAGAGAAAAGGTAAATACTTCGGTCTCAACGCAGTAAATTTTTGACAGGGACATTCAGACTGCCCATGCAAATTAAAATTGATAATACAAATTATATAAAAACTTAAAATAAATGTTCTTTACTAGGCTAAAGGCAAGCTTATTCCCTTCGTTGTTTATCATGGTTAAACTCAGTTCAGCACACAAAACAGGCAAGTGCTTTAATAGTGAATCAGAAAGATTATAATGGCCAAATTCTCTACAGGTTTTTTTTTCCTCTGACTCACAAAAAAAATCCCTTCCCCCAGCTACACCTGCAGTCAGGTGAAACAGAGACCGGTTCCAACCGGAAGCCTCCTTTGAGAGCGCAGTGAGATTGTACACATATATGGGCAGCATTTGCAGCGATTTGCCCTTTAGCTTTAGAGAAGGAACAGGTTTAACCAGTCATTGGGAACTTGGGTATCACTGCAACAATCTACTTACTTTTGATTTGTGGGTATGGTTTGGCTTTCCAAAGTATTACAACACTTCACTTTTAGTATCAAGATGAATTAAGAAAGAAATTACTTTACTAGGTGTGCATCACCTGAAATGAAATGTACATTAAAATCTTACAGGATATACAAAATGGCTGCCTAGGGCCGTTACGTCACCTTACTTTTTTTATTTATTTTTTAACTTTGCTTGTTGCCTATTATATCTCATGGTTTATCCATAACAGCAGTACTACAGCAAGATATTAAATAGGCTATCAAACTTGTGTGTGTATAACAAACTCACTGATAAGACACTTTAAGATAAGTGTATGTTTTACGCGAGCTAAATCAAATGACTGATATGGTAATTGGCTAAATGACTTTAGTGTATAAACACACAGCCATAAACACTGAAGTGAACCTTTTCCATTAATCTCAGGTGTTAAGAGTAAAGATGGGATGAAATAAGGTGAATAAACATCAAATAAAGAGCAAACGCCTCTACTATTATTTTAAAAAGGCACTATTTGAGTTTAAAAAGCGTCATTGTCTGTGTTTAGGTGCTTTCACAAAGGAGTTGTGTTTTAATAAGCTGTTGGCAAAATACACAAGTCATTCAAAGACAATGCCGGACTCCCACACCCGATACAGGAGCACCGAGTTTCCGCGATGGGAGGAAGGGTGGGAGTCACGCCAGTATAATCATTACTTTGAGTAAAAGCGTAACCCAACTGTATCACCCAACGTTAAACTAGCATCGTCTCAGTCAGAAAGTTCACCCAAATGATAAAACGGCTTACATTGTGTTTATCATCATGTATAATCTCCTATTTTGGCAACACTTGCTTGAAAATTTACACATTCCTGAAGGACAGCTGCCCTTTTTACCACCTTTATGTTTCCTTTGACCCAAAACGTAACAAAAAAGTCAAAAAAATAATTAACCAGCTCTGCAGGAATGTGAGAGGCTACTATTCACATACATTTTATGTAATCACAGCCAATAAGAGTTAGCGTGCATTTATTTATTTTTTTTACACCAAACAATACAAAAACTATTTTTGAGGGAACTCGTGGAACAACAGGTGTTTGTCCTTATTATTGTAACACTAGAGGAGTTGCCGCGAAATGGCTCTAGGGCGTGGTAACGTCCTAGCTTTCATGTAACTACAAATAAGACAAGCATCACCACAACAGTCCGAAATATGATTTGCACCTTATATTTTACAATTAATAATTATAATACACTTTTTTAATACGATATTCACGTTATCAACAAATAGTTTAAAAGTTTTCGTTTCATAATTAATAAAGCTATGACAGGACACACATAAATTATATCAGTAGCTTGGCACCATTCGAAGCCAAAATACTCGTATAATTATCATCAGCGTGTGAAATTAGTGTTCATATGCCAGTACGTTCAATAGTGCGCGCATGCGCTCTTACAGGTGCAGCGTTTCACTAAGCAACAGCTTTCGTGAGTTACAAACCACAACTAATATAAACAAACAGTCCAGTGCAAATTAAAGTACTTTTAAGAACACCTAGCACTGTTGTTAATAATATAGGCTAAAAAGTTACCCTTTGTTAAAAAAAAAGAAAAAAAAGGCGGTTTGTAGGCTACTTACTATCGAGTTGTAGGATGGAGTCGTACACCTTGCACTGCATTTGTCCGGTGCTCTGGAAAGCGCACGACATCCAAAGGCCTTGATACATCGCTATCGCTGTGATTATATTATCTCCAACGTAGGCAGACATCTTCCATTGGGGTAAGATTGTGCCAACAATGAGCCCAATCAACCCCAGAAGCGATAGAGTAAATCCCAGGAGCTGCAGTCCTTTATTTGCCATCTTCTCACAATGAACTTAAAAGATCAACTATATCTGAAAGCAGCAGTTCAGCAAATAGTTATATGCCTAATGCTTTTCCAAATGAGTTCGGTTTTCGTAATCCTCCGACGTTAAATTAACAAATGTTAGGGAAAAAATCCGTTAAGAGTCGTTGCCGATACCCTGACTCAGACACCTGTTGAGTGAACTAGCCGCACCTTGAATATGAAATGAGCTGCTGATTTGAGCTTTTAGAGTGTCGTCCTCTTTATGGGCGGAGACTTCCTGAGTTTCGTCTTCAGTTCGCTTCAGTTTGTTGTTGTGAGGTCTGGGGGTTTCGTGACGACACCTTATCGTAGTATGAGTAACGTCACTGGTTATCACAAATCACAGATTTGTCATACTTTCATTTACAATCTGTATCGCATTTTACATGTCTCGGAACTTATTGTCAAGGGTCACGGTCTTTAGAAATGGATAGGCTATACTGCCCAAACACTTCTCCAAATAATATATAGATTAGGCTACATTATGCAGTCATATGTGGGCCTTTTCAAGAAAAGCGTGCCTTTTGTATTCATCATGTAGGTGCAAAATAAAATAAAATAAACTGACAGCACTATGTTACTTAGGCTACTAGTTGTATTTTCTACACAACCATGTATTTATTTATTTTTGATCCATATGTGGGCGTGTGGGGTCATTAATAATAATATGTAGGCTATGTATGTGCATGTGTGTTGACAAATACCTTATATAGGCTATATATATATATATTTTCTACTACTTGTTTCGCTTCTGTTTCAGTTTTTATAACCATTTCTTACTATGTGTAAGTAAGTTGTTGTTTTTTAGCATGTGTGTTTGGCAGTTATTTTTTAGGATTACTGATAAACTACTGTCATTTGATTTGTATTATTTGTATTTGTTGTTTATTTAAATTTTAGTTCAATTATGTCTGTATATGTCTTTTATTAAGTTTTTAGTTTTATTTAATTTGAGTTATTTTAATACTTCAATTAAGCCCCCCCCTCCCCCCTCCAAAGAGGAAAACACCATGGCAGGTGTCGATTTAAAAGTATGCACATTCCTACTTTATTTGTAAAGGAAATTCATCTCCAATCCTTCTTCTATAGTTTCAGGTAGTTATTCGAATGCTAGAAAACAGCTGCTTTTCGTAATTACTACAAATAACGTAGTTACTTTATGATACGTAATATTCAGAGGGTGGGGGAGATACTATATGTCTCTGCATCAACTGAATGATTTCATTCATTCATTCATTTTTATTCCCAGTGAATAGGAGTTAAAACTCCCACCCGGGTGACACTACTCCAATAATAGACCATGAAATTTTTTTTTTAATTAAATTACATTTATTTAATTAAATAAATAAATAAACAAAATAATATTAATATCTTTAAAATATTGCCACGAAACGTTGCAAACAATAAAATCAGAAAAGGACTTTAATTGTAAGCGACACAAGTATACGAAAAAGATAGAGTTACGATGGGGTTTTATCATATGATTTAGTCGAGTTTCGGCAATCGAGATCTGGCAGCAACAGCGCATTTTTCCGCTTGGGCGAGCGCTTTGCGGACAGTTTACCTCCCGCATGAAATCTCCCGCAGACCAGCAAACCACTGAGAACGCGCTATAATCCTGAAGAGTCATAGCAATAGAGCGGAGGCGAGAAAGCTGCGGAGAATCCGCTCGCCCGGAAGCAACCGCAACTGATTTAGATTTACAGAAAATTACCGTTGTTTTCAAATAAATAGCCTAATTTTACATGCTTATTCCCAACACTTTATTAAACTTTAAGTCACATCTCAAATGACAAGGGATCAATTTATAATCATGTTTATATTAATTAGTCTGTGAACTCATTCTCTCAAAGGGCCCTGGTAGGCCTATGCGGCGCATTCGCAGCTTATATGGACGGAACGCCACTGATATATATATATGTGTTTTTCTGTCAATATGGGGTGATGTGTGTACATTAAAGAGGGAAAAAAATTAACTTAAATGATTTTAGCAAATGGCTGCAATATAACAAAGAGTGAAAAATTTAAGGGGGTCTGAATACTTTCCGTACCCACTGTATATATATACTGAATGATGATGCAACATTATTTCACCTATATTCTGACATTTTATTTTCACAAAAGTTATTTGAAAAGCATACCACTTGTGTTTAATATGCTTTCTATGTATATAAGATGCGGATATCTACATAATGCTGTTTATGTTTATATATTCAGAATTATAACTACATGTTCACAATTTGCATTTATATATTCAGGCTTATAACTAGGCCTATATATTCTGATTTACCTCTATATATTCTGATTTACATTTATATATTCAGACTTACAACTATATATTCTGATTTACTTCTGACAAAGACCTTTATTAAACTAAATAAATTTTTCATGACAAAGATTTGGCAGGTCTGAATAGACTCACTCACTTAGCCCACATGTAACCAAAGCTAATGATAGTTAATAGTGTTAAATTGTGTTTAAGAAGTAAGTGTTAAAAGCACTGACACAACTTAACATTGCCGGCCTTTCTCAAATAAAATTGCATGGTGAATTATATCCCTATACATACAGCATTAGTAATGTGTGAACGAAAGTGCACAGAAAAATCTATACACATCTCACAAGAAAAAAAAAGAATAATACTTTGCTGACATATTTTTGTATTTGGGTTTCAGTGTTTTGAGCAAATGCCGGTGGTATTGAGTCACAAATCAACTGAGTCATGCTTATGAAGGCTGACAGTGTTACAACCTCCATTTTAAGAGAAGTGCCTGACACGGTAAGAAAGTCATGACAATCTTAGGCCATACCTATTAGATTGAGGAATTATTTTTAGACTTCAATTGAGATGAGCGACTGATGACCATTAACCACAGAAAGTAAGTCAGGAAACTCATAGGTCACGTCAGAACTTTTACAGTAAATGCACCTCACGTTCATGGTGTGTTAACATGTCATTTGAATGAATTTTTGGCAAGCACCCTGAGGGTTCCTGTATACAAGTTTAAAAACCTGCAGCCAACCCAACACACTTTTCAACTTATTCAACTGTTTCATATTCAAAGTATTTCTGTGTTGTTCTGACACGTCTTTGCTGATTTAGAATCTGTTAGTAAATATACATGCATCTGTATTGTAAAAAGCCGAAGTGTTTTCTTAGTAACCACTCTATAGTTCCATTGTACTATATAGTTTCCAGGGAAGTGATTCCACTTCAGGACAATTTTTCATTGCTGTTTGTGTAGCCACATGATCACAAACATAGAGAAAGAGAAAAGGGAGTGTCTTTAGGAATCATACAAGTTAAAGTTATGTCACAGGTTTCAGTCAGAAAAAAATCCTGATATGATTCATACACAAATGAGCATGTACAAGTGTGTACAAACGGATCTACACTTCCTAGTTTATGAGTATGTGAAACTGTTTACTAAAGCATTATTTGCCACCGTTCTCACAGGGGGGAGGGTTGTAACGTACCAGTACTGGTTAGACAGGTTCTACCATAAAACACAGAACACCAGCCCTGAGCATTTCCTGGAATCTAATCCAAACACATTCATACATACAAAGAAATATCTACTTTATATTACTCCACACGCATAGTCCAATATACACATCCACGTATCGCATCTCTTCTCATACTCTTATGCTCCAGTGAGACATTTCACACACTACACCGGCCACTGTCTCAGAGAGCATGAGGAACTCGGAAGTTTATTTCTGATGATGTGAGCAAATGCAAACTTCCTATATATATCTTCGCCATGGCAGTACAAGAATCATTTTTGTTTCTCACTGTGCTTTGCTCCTGAGTAGAGACTCGAATGTCAGCTCTATGTTTGGGTGGTGGGGGAGAGGGTTCATGGGGGAGGTCTTTAGACCCACCCCTATAATTGTTTAGAGTCCCAAGTCAAGTAATTCAAACCGTCAACTGATAGTGACTCATAGCTGAGAGGAAATGGGACAGTATCAATTGAGAACATAGTAATTCTGACAACTACTGTTTTGTTTACATGGTAATATTATCATGTATTGCTATATATAGTTGAATTAGCTCTGGGGTGTTTGCATACATATATATCTTGTAGCATGTAGCATTATTATCACTTTTATCTTAACCACAGTTCCTATGGAGATGGGTTTCGTGGAAACTCACTCTCTCTCGCTCTCTGTCTGTCATACAGTTTCTACTTACTACCGCTCCCTATTGGAAAAAATCCCGCTAGTGTTCAGTTCAGCCACTAGGGGGAGTCGTGGCCTTTCAGTGTAGCTCAGTCCAGAGAGCTCTGACATTTGTTTTGTTCCTTCCTTTATCGGTGTAATGGATGCTGAACATCACCAAAATGTCTCAGCAGACTCTCTCTGTTTCTCTCTTTGTTCTTGCTTCTTGGGGTCTGATAACAATAATGTCCATTTACATCCTAATGAGAACAAAAGGTGTGATGGGGAGAGTGAGGGAATAATGGAGAGAAGAGAATGTGTGGGAATGAGATAAAAGTGAAATCAATGGTGATGTTACCAGGGCCTCACAGGGAAGGATAATGGAGGACATTAGGATAAATACTGAGTGTGTGTTTTTGTAAGAGGCTACATATAGTCCATAAGTCTGAGACTATTATAGTGAAAATGCTACTATTTGCATAATTTAATAGATTTTCTTTTAATTACAAATTGTATTATGACCATAACAGTTTACATTTTATTTGGTTTGTCTCTCTTTTGCTTTATTTGACAGCAGCACTATTCATTTTAGAATTATCCTACACTGTAAAAAATGTTTTTCTGAAGTTTCATGAAAATAGTATTATTTTCAGTCTTTCTACTGAAAAATGTAATGTTTAATTCAGCATGATACTTGCCATTTCTTTGTAATTATTTGCGAGCTTTACTAGCAATGTATGAGTGAGAATTGTTTTTACACTGTGAAAAAAATAAAAAAATACTGGTAATTTTCTGCCAGAACATTATTCATTATTTTTACAGACATTTCCATTAACCCTACAACATAAGCCAGTGCAGTGCAAAATTCATAATACAAAACACAGAACACCTGTAAAAAAACAATACGGAAAATTCCTTCATACTTTGTGCCATATTTTTATGATTTTTTGGTGTTTGGTGTATAATTTACACCAATTCAGTGTAGTTCCCTTTCTGTTTATTAAATTACCTAAT